TGTGCAGATGCCAAAGGGTAACTCTGTGAGTCAGGACAGCAGACAGCAGGCCAAATTCCTTAGTGCCCTCTGTAGATATACAGCAGCCATAGAACAATGTACCTGTGTCGAGCTTTTGCAACATGTTTTTGAGCATGAATAGGAACTCTTCCTGCTGGTATCTTCAGACGCTGGATAGATAGGTGGCAAGAGGGAATAGGCAAAGAAATCCTCTTTGTAGGCCTCTTTCCACCATGAACTAGAAGTCCGCAGCTCCCTGCTGTGCTGGGCAGAGTTGCAGCTTTCCCTAGAATGGGCAATGCTTGTGTTTTTAACGTAAAGAATGTGAAAGCATGATGGAAAACTTCTTTGGCATATGTAATTAAAGAAAGTTGACTCTGACTTACGATTTCTGCTGAAATGGAGCTGTAGCTGCCCATAACAATTACAGGATGATGAGTTAGAGTTGAATGCAGGAAAAATAGTAATTGGTAGGTGGCCTCCATCTCAGCTCAATCTCATCTAAATCAAACCTAAGTGATCGTCTTTGCAGGAGCCTCAACATTGCATTTTCCTGTCTTCATCTGTTCAGTGAATATCTCAGAAGTTACAGTCCCTGATCATTCATGCAGTATCTGTCCATTCTTTTTGCTTCTCTATTTTCCTTCCACAGCTGACCAATATTCCTGTTTCATGCTTTTTATGTCTCCGTGATACAGACACAGAAAAAATATGCCACCAGCATCAACTGGGCTGGCATGGAAGACAAAGGAAGTGAACTTTAGATGTTCAAAAAAAGGTGTGCTAATAGTGTGAAGAAGTAGATGGACATAAATGGGAAGTTGACCCCAAGAGGGAAACTCAGGGGAGCATGAGCACTTAGGGGCTGTGTCAGGCCCTGCTAATGCTGAGTCTCCTCTTCGCTGCCATGAGGCCCATGGTGTCAGAAGGCTTCCTGAGAGCCACCATGTGCCTGTCCTTCAGGACCTCTGACTCCAGTTGGCATGGCAAAGTGAGCAGAGGGTGCACAGTTCAGGAACAGGCATTGAGCTGTGCAGGTGCTCAGAGGTGTCACGTGCTCACAGCCAGAATAGTTTTGTGGGATTCTTGTGGCCCTAATGAGAAGCAGCTAGAAAAACGTAGTACCAACTTTTCTGTTCCTGAAAAGATGCTGCACCAGGCAGATACATGTTTGAAAGAAAGCAATTAGGCAAAGCAGCAATTGTACCCCCATCATATACATATCTATTCATATGTGGATAATGGTAAGTAACTCTAGCTGTCTTTTGGGAAATTATGCTCCTTTTACAAGTTATTAGCTAATAACTTTCTGACAACTGAGTCATGAAATTACAATAAAATAATAGTAAAATATTTTTAACAGTGAATATTTTAGCCAGTGTCTGGCAATTATGTACTCACTTGCTTTCATTGGAAAGATTACTTAGATAAGAACAAGAGACATATCCACTAAGAGAAAGAAATATGGGCATGTCTGTCATTCTAGAGGTACCTGAAAGCACAGGGAAGAATAGTAGAAGGAAAGATAAAATGGGGCAGAATTAGAAATTAGAGTATTTTAGTAGCATTAGCTGCAGATATTCATTATGTAGATTCTATTCCTCATTTTTGTTTATAATGGCATACTGGAAATAAAAAGAACCAGTTAGTATTGAAAACCTATTATATTATTAAACTCAATAGCAGAACGGCTGCTGTTGTCAGTTAATAGGTACTTAAATAATTTGAAGTCCAGTGGTAGAAGAACTGAAAAGATGAGAAGAAATGTATCTAAATATTAATTTTGGCATACATGTCAGCTTGCTTGTTGTAATTGCACATCTTTTTTCTCTTTCCTTATATTTATCCTACACAGAACACCTTTTGCCATCTTTGTTTCTGAAAAGTTATTCAATTCACATTGATAGTTCAGGTTTGATCATTTGCTCACATTATTAAACACTGGTCTTTATTAATTAAGGCTTTTTTTTAAATTGCTTGCTTAGTGTATTTGTGCATATTTGAAATACTCTATAAACTAGTCATTGTTGTTAACTTGTAAATGTGTAATTCTTCACACACTGCTAAAAACACATATACTCGGACCATGGTACAAAGAAGAAATTGGGTTTCTGTTCACGGCCCTGCTGCTGAGTAAACATGTGACTTGTAGCTGTGTTTTGGCACTCTTTCTTGAGTGGGACGGCACTTCGGTCGGCATGGCGCTCGCACTAGTGAGACCGCCTCCCTGGCAAAGAGCCGCCATGCACAAATAAGCACGAACAAGGACTTTGGCCATTAATGTTTCTGCCCTATGAGCAAAAAGAAAAGTTAGGGAGTTGATTTGTTTGTTTGTTTTCCTTTCCAAAGCATGTTCTGATCTTCTGATGGCAAGTGGTTAACAAATCCATAATGATGAAATGCTTCCCAAGTAAGCAAGTAAATAAGCTTAGTAATGATAGCTTTGCCCTAGTATGCCATTACTCTGGGCTCTGTACAGTCATAATGAAGGACAGCGGTTGCTCTGCAAAACTAAAGAATTAAGGGAGAGGAGATCAGACAGACATAGCAAAAAGTTAATTCCCAGGAAGAATGAGATTGTACCAGTCAGACTGAAGAGCACTCGCCTTGCCACACTGGTTATCTAACCACCATTGTTGTTGGCAATGCAGAAAAGGACAACTTCAAGGTCAGATGAGGGGAGAGATTAAATTTAAATTTGTGAATGTTCTCAGGAGCCTGCTTTTCTTGTACATATAGTGGCATTATCAAAATCCAGGAGAGTCAATAATGTTGCCGCCGTCCATACGGGTGGTGAAGAAGTTGTTGGACCTTGCACTGTGCTACAAAACACTACAGCTGGTCAATGTCTTCTTTACCAAGAAGAATATTTTGTATTAGAAGGGACTCCTCCATTGGCAGTGTGAGTGGCAGCCTCCTAAGAAGCTGAGCATGCTTTTCCTAATCTCTTTCCTTGATGGATTGCCTGGAGAAGTAGAGTAACAGCCAAGTCAGCATAAAGCTTCACTTATGCCCTTACTGCATTCGTTGTTACACTAGTTACTAATAAGTTAGTATGACCATATTTTGTGTACCTGAACAATTACAGTGCTGTTCGTGTGGGTTTATATAACTGCCATGCCGCAAGAGAAATGACCTGAACAACTCTCTTCTTTGACAGGAGTTAATGACTTCTGCATTTCTGTACCACCACCAGGTGCAGAACATCACTGAAATTAAACAAAATTGCATACCTCCGAGAGGTGTATAGGGAGCTCAAGAAATTGTCTAGTGTTTTTCATGGGTCAGTGTTGTTGCAATGATACAACCATTTCAAAAATTGTGTTTATACTATCTTAAAACTAAGATCTAAGCATTCTTAAAAAAAAAAAAAAGAAGAAAAGAAAGGAAAAGGTCACTGAGTAATTTATATAAATCCACTAAGACAATTTCAGAGGACTAATACTGTCTAGGTTCAAAATATATAAGGATTAATAAGGCCCCATACTGTAAAACTGAAAGGAACTGAAGAAACTGTTCTCCTGTAAAGGATTTTAACACGAGCCATGATTGTCTTCTCTTATTTAGGTGGATGTTGTGCCTGCAGGCCTTCCTAAACTCTTACTGTATAGACATACTATAAAGAGGCCTTATAGCTCGCAGCCTGGGTTGTGACAGGACGAAGCAGTTTGGGGAAAATCACCGATGGATCAACGAAAAGAGTAGCAAGAAAGACCCCTTATTGCAGCCTGCATTGCAGCCTGTTTGCCCAATAGTTTAATGTACCTGTCAGAAAGGCTTTCTTAGTGTGTGTGAAGAACTGTGTATCTTCAATTTCCCCTTCTTTTGAAGGCTGTTTCTTTCAAAAGAAGAGGTGGGAGAAGCCATGTGCAAGGAAGGAGGTGGCAGTTCCTTGCTGTGAAGCACAAGGGAGCAGGTTATGAGGTCCACCTCAGGCCACGAGGTGGGAGGATGGAGGAGAGCAGGGAAAATGCAATGAGGACCTGGAGCCCCACTCCTCAGCTGTGTGGCCAAAATTATCCCGGGACTGGACATCTGTGCGAAGGTTGACACAGATCAGGAAGTCTGGGAGGCTGTTGAAATCAAACCAGGCAGAAAGGATTCGTCCTGCAAGGACATGGTGTGCAAGGGGAGCATGCTTTGGACAGCCTTCACCTTTCCTTCCGCTGGACACAGTCACTGGGGATGGCTCAGTAGTGTTGTGACTACCTAAAGTAAATACACATTTGGTCTTCCTTTGGGAATTCACTGTACGGAAGAGGTTCAGGCAAATCCACCTCAGTGCTCTAGTGCACTGGGTCTGGCTGGGACAGAGGTGGCAACACCTAGCTCACTTGAAGTGCCACCATGGCGTGTAGCAAACCAGGTGTAAGACATTAGGGAAGGAAGGCAACAGACTGGCATGGCCGAGTCAAGACTTTCTAGTCAAACTAAAGGGCCAAAAGGAAATGCACAGACAGTGGTAGCAGGGACAGGTACCCTATGAAGGGTACAGGGACGCTGCCCAGTTGTGTAGGGATGGGGGTCAGGAAGGCCAAGGCGCAGCTGGAGCTGAACTTGACAAGGGCTGCAAAGAATAATAAGAAGGGCTTCTACAGGTATATCAGCCAGAAAAGAAAGGTCAAAGAAAGAGTACACAGACACATATCCCCCTGCCACCCTACCCCCCCGCTCCCCGATGAACAAGACTGTCAGACTAGTAACAACAGACAAGGAGAAGGCTGAGGTACTCCACGTCTTTGCCTCAGTTTTGTAACACGGCAGCAAATTCCTCATATTTGTTCTGTGAAGACTCAATAGCTTAAAAATAGAAATGGAGGAAAGAGAAAGAAGTAGCCTTCTGAGACCAGCTTCACCCATAATTTTCAAAAGCCTGCTTTATTTTTAAAATCTTTACTTTCTTTGTGGCATTATCAAAGGAGTACTTGCTGATGTACATAAGTGTGTTTTTATATCATTGTAACCGACTTAACTGTTTTTGTTCATCTCCTCTCTCCCAGTGGAGTTTCTATACTGTGATTTGGCTTCCATGAAGTCTATACGGCAATTTGTGCAGCGGTTTAGAGCAAAGAATTGTCCACTCCATGTCCTGGTGAATAATGGTGAGTTCTGTTCTTTTCTTCTCATATCTGCAGGGGAAGATGTGACAAACAGGGCTCTCATCTATCCCTTTACATTTCAGTTTGATTATCTGAACCATATAGCAGTTTACAATTCGGCGTTAACAGGGATGTCCTTCTAGGAGTAAAATTGCATTTTTTTGAGAGATTGACAGCTGAGCAGACTAACCACTGGTCCCACCTCTGCTTGTGATGTTATCACAAGTCTTGTTCTTTTGCCATTCTTACAGCTCTCCAGCACTAAACACCATGCAACTGCACAAGAATCTCAACTTTCCCCCACCAAAAGGATTACTTTCTCTCCCCTTATATTTTCCCTGTATGAACACAGGTGTTTGCTGTAGCTGTGTGGTGAGCTGAATTGGGGGGGCTAATCCATCTGAAATATAATCTAGCAAATTATCCAGCTATCTCAGAGCAGTCACTGCTTAGATCAAGGTGCTGCTGGAAAATTGTCCGTAAAGCTGCACCCTCAGTGGTCAGAGGACAAATTAAAAGGACAACATTTATCATGCATTCCTATAATTATCAAATGAATCTCATTACTCTTAGGGATTTTAACTTTAGTTATTTACTTACTTGCCATCCAATTATGTTTGGTAGCTGCAGTATTTTTGGAAACCAGCCCATACAATAATTTTCCTCTAAAACCCTGCATGCCCTGCATGGACTTTCCTAAAGGGGATTTTTCACCTGTCTATTTAACTAGGGGGAAAAACCCTCCAGCAACAATTTAGGCTTCTTTTAGAAGTTCTCTGCTGTTATATGCTGCTGTTCTTGTTTTCCCCATTATTTGCATGTTTTTTTTTTAAGACATCCCAAAGAACGTTTTCCATTTTCCTGTGCACCCTTCAGTTCTAGTGCGGGTGAACGTGCTGTAAATAAATGGTTTTGTTATATTTATTGATGCCTTGAAGAGCCCTCGGTAACACAAGCAAATATTGCAATAAAAATTCAAGAGTATTTTATTTCCTGATTGATATGAAACATTCATGAAGCGTTCAATTAAATGTTCATTTTTATTTGATTAGTCAAAAAAGCCCACCATTATTATTTTAATTGTGCAATAATTAAGGGTAGTGGATATTTAATCCTGGTTACAGAATCTTTCCAGTTTGACATGCCTACTTTTAAAGATGCACAGTACAAACTGTAACACAGATAGGAACAACACTATTTGAAAAAAACAGCATTTTGGGGAAAAAGGGTTTTGAGATCTATGTACCCATCAGGCATGCCCTGTCTTTCACCAGTTGTCTGCACAAGCACTAGGGACCTGGGGGCAGCTTAGGGGAGAAATTATGGGACTGAAGCAAGAGCACAGCTGGGAAGCCCTCTTGGATAAAGGATTTTGTTCTGCCCCAGATGCTACTGAAGCAGGATGGATGAAAATTGCAATTAAATATGTCTTCTTAATCAAGAAACAAAGTTATATGAAAATAGATCTCCTAATGTGCTTAACAGCATATGAGACAAAAAAGTATACACCCAAAGCTTCTTTTAAGAAAGAAGCTTGAAAGTAATATTTGTCTAAATTAGTCTGTATTTTCATGACCTGCAAAAACGGCATTTGATTTCATTTATGCTTTGTTACCAAATACAGTTGGCAAGAGAAATCCGTTGTTTAAGAAAATCCTGTTAGAAACGACAATAAAATTCATGATCCAACTTTGCTTTTTACTCAATCTTTAACAGAATCACAGAAGTGATCACATCCAAAGCTGCTGTAAAGATTCCCATGTAATTAGGTTAGTCTCCAACCATTACTTGGCAAGTCACCAGCCTCCACTTCTGAAAGCTCTTTCCTTTTTTTTTCTTTTTCCTGGTCCTTTTTGTTTGTCCTTGTAAATAATCTGCAGCATTTCAGTTTTGTTACTTGTTTCATAGTGAAAGCCCAAGTGATTTCTTGGTTCACGAGAAGGAAATTAACATAGCTTATGGAGGAGAAATGGCCTGATGCAAAAACCTTTGACCACTGTAGTTCAATGCACTAAGGAAGAAGATTTAAGTCCACTGTGGACTGCAGGGCTGGAGGCACTACTCACTCAAAAGCCTCATTGCAGTTGCCAGCTCCACTCCTGTCGTATTTTGACCGTGGCTGGCAATAAAGTACCATGCAGCGGCTCGCTCACCTTGCCCCCCTCCTCCGGTGGAGGAAGAGAATTGGAGGAAAAGACAAGGAAACTTGTGAATCGAGATAAGAACAATTTAATAATTGAATATAAATAAATATAGTGTTGCTAATAATATTAACAATACTACTAAATAATTAAAATAGTAGAAAATAAAACATATGATACAATTCTCACCACCTGCGGACCGACACACAGCCAGGTCCCGAGTAACAAGAGCCAGAGCCTGAGAGCGATCGCAGCAGAGTCAGAGTGAGCCCCATGAGTGACAGCACGATGGGAAAGCCAACTGACCCACCAACTCACTAACAATGATCAAGCTAGCAACTAACAAACGAAAAAGCTAAAAAGCTAACAAGTGAGCAAACAAAGGAGCTATAGCCCCCCTGGCCCACTCCCCACTTACGTACTGAGCATGATGTGCTGTGGAATGAAATACCCCTTCAGTTTGGGTCAGCTGTCTGAACTGTGTCCCCCCCCACGTACTGCTTATAATGAAAGTTGGGAACTGAGCTGCAGTGTCAGAAGCTGAGAAAGACCTTGAATTTGGTGCAAGTACTCCCTAGCAACAACCAAGACACATCTTATCAGTACTATTCTCAGGGCAAATCCAAAACACAGCCTCATACCAGCCACTGTGAAGAAAAATAACTCTGTCCTGACTAAAACCAGCACAACTCCCATTACCACATGATGCCCTGGACGCAAGCTTGGGTCTCTGGAAGAGGACAGGGCTTGCAGTATTTAAATGTCTGGTAGGATTGAGTTGTTGGGCATGTGGTCAGTGAGCATGTACACTTTCTGTCAGAAAACCCTGTTGTCAATAGGAAGGCATTTTGTGTGACCATTAGTGGCTTGCAGGGTGTCTCATAATGACATGGCTGATTTTCTTATGTCTTGGTGTATGCACCTGGAATAGTAGGTTTCTTAGTATTCCCTACTACTTTCTTATTTCTTATACATCTTGAAGCTCTAACATTCTTGATATGAAGAGGTATTTTAATTTTTTAGCACAGGGGGAAGAGTGTGTTGGCCAGGCACCTGCACAGTGCATTTGTAGGCAGTCATATGCTTTTAAGAGTCAGACCCAACGCCTGTTGGGGATAATGGGAAGCCTCCACTAGGTTTTGAAAAACAGACTTTGTGTGGGTCAGACCATTGGCAACCTAAAAAGAATTTTCCTCTCTATCTTCATAGGACCAAGTATTTTATTATCAAGGACTGTATCCTTTTCTTACATTTAATGTAAAAATACCAAGAACTCTTACATTGCATGTTTTTGCACACTACATTAGTATTGTTAACTGCATTAAATCAACATCTTTAAATTAATTTATATAATCATGTCTATATGTTAGTGAACTTTCCACATCTTATCTCTATGAATATGTATCCTGTATGTATGTGCAGCTATAGGCTATTTGTTGTGGCCTTGTGTGAACCTGTCAAAAAGACAAACATTTCAGGATGAACTGGGGAAAGTTCTAACATTATTCAATAATGCAAACTGTGAAATGAACATTGAAATATTATTAAAGACAAATGATATTTCATGAATTACTGTTCTAGGTAAATAATCAATACTACATGCCTGACCTAAGATTATTATGCAATTCAGAAGTTTTCCAGGTCACTGGTGTTCTTTTTTAAAATGTGTCTTCATTACTTGCTCTCCATCACTTGCCCAGCTCAAGGATCTAGTTGGAAATTAAATGAATCCCAAAATCTGGAGTTTTAAACTATTTTCATAGAGCTAAACACCCAGGTCCCACAAAAATTTTTGTAAGGTTTAGGTATCCAACTAATTCAGGCACTTCAAGAAGTCTTACATGAACATTTAGGGTGTTTCAAAATGGAGATTAGTGCACTAGAGTCACCCTCTCTCTTTTTGTTATAGCTGATTTTTGCATACACATTTAACTTTCTAATTTCTAATTTAAAAGGAAAAATTTGGTTGAATGCACGCATTATTTCAGCTGACAAATAAAGGCCGGTTGTTCCATTACTATGCTTTCTGCATCAGTAATGTGCATGCTCAGCTCTTGGTTTTTAAAATAAACAAAATGTATTAAAGATGCAAATAGGATATTACATAAACATGTTTAAAAAAAATGTGATGTGCTAGTGGTAAAAAGAGAAAAATGCTATGACACAGAAAAATTCGTTTTCTGTGGGAAAAAAAACCCTAAGCTAAATAGCTGAACTGTGAGCCACAGAAAGATGGATGCAGTACAAGCAGTTTGGAAAGCAATCTTGACAGAAGGTCAGAAGAATGTCTTCTAGTCCACTAATTATCAATTGGGTGACAATTTTTTTGGTTTTGTTTTTGACAACAACTGTGCCTTTGTACAACTGAAAAGCATTCAAAGTGGTATTGCTGTTAAGCTGCACTAAAACGTCTGCAATCTTCCATGGTTAAAACACTTCATAAAATTCCATGAGCGGTAGTCACTGTTTCATTCCAGACAGGTTCTTTCTAACTTCAAGTCAATCTTTTTCACCGTGTGCTAGAAATGTTGCTCAGTACCTTATAGTTAATGTTTTTACTTACACACTGTTTACAGTACTTAATAATCTTAAACACAGGAGAGCTAACACCAAAATCACAACATCTTTAGTAATAACAGAGTACCTAGGGAATCCAAACATGCATGATCTAATTCATTAACAGTGAAATACCAACCACCTTCTCAGTTGCACTTTATTGAATGGTTTGTGATTTTGGCTGCAGGTTAGGAAAGGAGGGGGAGAAAACTACAAGGACATTCCTTGGCATTAGGGTATTCCTTGGCAGGCACACAAACACTAAAAAGAACTTGGAGATTTCAGGGTATTATTAGACTACTGTAG